CAGAGAATACGGGTTGAGATTAAACCTATAGAAGTACACCTTCGGGGTGATAGAAGAGAAAATGCTGGGATTTCTGATCACACAGAGGGGAATTGATGTTGAGCTATCCAAAATCAAGGCCATTTTAGAAATGCCACCACCAATGACTGAAAATGAGGTGCACAGCTTTCTAGGCAAAGTGCAATTCATAAGATGGTTTATTTCAAAACTAACCTTGACTTGTGAACCACTGTTTGGTCTCCTGAAGAAAGGGAAGAAATTCTGATTGGATGATCGATGTCAGTTTGCTTTTGAGCAGGTCAAGCAGTACCTCTAGAATCCACCTGTGTTATCACCACTAGAGCCGGGAAGCCTCTGATTCTGTATGGGGTGCATGCTTGCTCAGGAATCTGAAGATAGGGTAGAGAAGGCCACCTTCTACTTGAGCAAAAAGATGCTGGATTATGAGACCCGCTACACTCCTCTTGAGAAAGCTTGCCTAGCCTTGGTATGGGCCACCAGGAAGTTGAGGCACCATTTGTTAGCTCATTTTGTAATCCTGGTTTCGAGATTAGATCCCAGCAAATATCTCTTTGAGAAACCAACGCTTACAGATAGGCTGGCTCGTTGGTTACTTCTTCTCTCCGAATTTGATCTCAAGTATGTAACGCACAAATCAGTTAAAGAGAGAGCTGTGGCGGAATTCTTGGTGGATCACTCGGTAGAAGAGGATAAGGCAGTGGAATACTTGTTCCCAGATGAAGACATTTTGCAAATGGAAGAGGAAACATGGACGATGTACTTTGACGGAGCATCTAATCAGTACGGTTATGGGATTGGTGTGTTGCTGATAGCACCCGATGATTCCCATATACCTTTAGCCTTCAAACTCCAGTTCAAAGTGTCCAACAACAAAGCAAAATATAAAGCATGTATTGTTGGTCTGGAAGCTGCCCTAGAACTAGGGACAATAAGGTTGGACGTCATCAGGGACTTGAACTTGGTTGTTTCTCAAGCAAATGGAGACTAGAAAATCAAAGAGGAGAAAATAAAGGTTTATCATCAAACCCTGGATATTCTGATTCTGAGGTTTGAAAAACTGACATTCACTCATCTATTAAGAAAAAACAATAGGTTCGCTGATGCTTTGGCAACTCCATCTCTATGGTAGATATCCCGTTGGGAGTCAAGATGCGTCCGATTATCATCGAACAAAAATACACGCCAGCTTATGAGACCATCGCCAGGATAGATAAGGTTCAAGACAAAAACCCCTAGTACTATGATATTTGGAATTTTCTGGAAAAATGAGACATATCCACCAGGGGCAAATACCAAAGACAAATGGGGAATACAGCATCTGGTCATCCAATTCATCATCTGCTGGGGTAAGCTATACAAAAGGGGTCATCTGGGAATGCACAACCTGTGTGTTAAAGAAAAGGAATCGAAGCGACTCATGAAAGCCATCCACAGAAGGGATTGTAGAGCACACATGAACGGTGTGATGCTAGCCCGAAAGATCCTCAGACAAGGCTATTATTGGTCCACTATAGAGGAGGATTGTATTGGTTTTGTACGGCGATGCCACAATTGTCAAATCCATACCAATCGCATGAATATCCTGCCGTCAAAGCTCTACAACATGACTTCGCCATGGCATTTCTTAGTCTGGGGAATTGACGTTATTGGTGTAGTCTCGCCAAAGGGCTCGAATGGGCATGAGTTTATCTTGGTGGCAATTGACTATTTTACGAAGTGGGTGGAAGCTCAGTCCTATGCTAAGGCATCACATGTAGCCAAATTTATCAGAAACAACATCATCTACTGATATGGGGTTCCAAATGAGATTATATTAGATAACGGCTCACACTTCAAGAGAAAGGTGGTGGATCTGCTCGAGAAATACAACGTGGCTTTTCACAAGTCATCAACGTACAGACCACAGACCAATAGAGCTATTGAGGCCGCCAATAAGAATAATAAGAACATCTTGCGAAAGATGGTGGAAACATACAAGGACTAGCCGGATAAACTGCCATGCACTCTTTGGGGATACATCATCAATTCGAACATCTACAGGTGCAACCCCCTATTCATTAGTATATGGGATGGAAGTCGTTCTGCCAATTGAAATTGAAATGTCGTCCATGCGAGTCATGGCTGAGTGTCAGATAGCGGAGGTGGACTGGCAGCAGAGTAGATTTGATGAGTTAATGTTGTTTGATGAGAGAAGACTAAGGGCATTGTATCATGTCTAGGGCTACCAGCGCAGAATTGCTAGGGCTTTTAACAAGAAGGTCAAGTCTAGAAATCTCAGGGAATGAGACATGGTGATCAAGAACAACCGGGTTTCCATCCATGACCCTAGGGACAAGTCAGACCTAATTGTACTAGTCCTTACATCATCAAATCTATCTGGTCAGAAGGGGCAATTATTCTCACGGACTTAGATCACCTAGAATTTTCATAGTCGATTAACATGGACAAGTTGAAGAAATATTACGCCGAAAACCCGAAAGGGCTACCTAGGCAAAAGTTAGAGCATGGAAAATTAAAAATAAAGAAAAACTGAGCCCACAAGGTTAAAAACCCTAAAGGGCGACTTTGGCAAAAGTTAGAGTGCAAAAGGAGAGAGTTAATACTCGAGTGAACCTGAACCACACTACATAAGTCCTGATTCCCATTTTTGGGATACGTAGGCAACTTCATTCTGAAGTTCGGCCGTAACCATCTCTATCTCAATTGTCCTGTCCATCTATTTGATCAGGTCATCTTTGTCAATCATTATTTATCTTGGTTATGTTGCCTCTATTTTGGCAGAAGGACCAATTGCAAGGTAGAGCAATGATGATGAATATAGTTATGGACAGTTATAATCTTCTAATTTGGGGTTGTAAATCTTAAGGACTAACTCTGTGCGTGTCAGGCAGTGATCACTTTCGAAAATGGCTTTGAAAAGTTTTAATAAAAGTTGATTTTGTTCAAAATTTTACCTTTTTACAACTTAGACCATTTTGAAACCAAAAAGAAAATTTTTGGTGCTCACAACTTTAATTCCATTGATTTCAACACGGGTACATTCCTCAACTCTCTGAGTTGAATCAAAGTTACTTGTACATCATAAAACTTGAAAAAAAAAAAAGTCAAAGCAATAAACTAGGGACATAGATGAGTCAGGTGTTCCTATGTCCTCTACTTGTGCTCGCGGAAGCCTCTGCAGCCAAAGTTGGCCCAACCTGTGCCTCGTCCTTAAGCCAAGCTAAGCACTCGCCGGAAAGGGCATAACTGAAACTAGGGGTAGGGGCCAGAAGCTCTCTTGTCCTCCAAGCAACGAGGTACCGAGTCAAGGATGAAGTGCGAATTGGGAATGGAGCTGGGTATTCTACCCCCTCTTCTGGTCGGGCCTGATCGTGTCCAAACTGGAGTCTGAACCGAAAAGGGAAATAGAACATGCCATGGGTGAGGTCGATCAACTGTATGCCCGGTTGTCGAGACATGCTGCAGCTCATTTCAGCCAAGTTAAGCTAGAGGCAACGCCAGGCAATGTCAACGCAGATCTGTTGCATATCCAGTCGCACCACCATCCCTCATTGGGAAAGTCCACTAGTCGCTGAAGGAAAAGTAAGCTCAGGCTGAATATTCGCAGCAAGAATCCACCACTTTCAGCTTATCCATGAGCTATACTTGGAAAAGGACAAAAAAGAAGAGAGATTAAAGAATAGAGAGATGTACGTTGAGAGAAACATAAAGAAAAAGGTTTTGAGAGAAAATAGAGCTTGAGTGCCGAGTGATGCAAGCCATAAATAAGAAAGGGTGGGAAACAATACCTGAAGAAGTAATGGACTCCCCACGAATCGAGTAGTCTCTCGCTGATAAAAAGCGTCCAAACCCATCAAGGTCTCGGCCAGGGCCAAACCAATGCAACTCTTACCGTCCTTCAGGCGTTGGGCCACCTCGATCAACCTGATGCTGGCTCTGCCGTAACTAGAGGCAGAAGAAAGTATGCGAGCATACATAAACAGAGGGCATGTTGCCCAAAGCCTCGCCAAAGAAGGTCACCTCTATCGCCAATGTCGAAAAACCGGTGGATTAACCTGAGTATATCTAGCTCCCCGTCATGAGCTAAAGATTGAGCTTTGTGCAAAGTCAGTCCACACATTTGCCCCAAAGCCTGGGTATTGCCAAAACGGGGCTGAGACATGATTTCCTCGTCGCGACAGGATTCCATCAATGCTTGAAATTCCTTAAAAGTCGGGCACAGTTCTTGTGCTCTAAACCGAAATACGAGTGTAATTGGATCCCAACACCGGACCGCGATATGGGGAAACGGGAAACAAAGTGGAGTACAGTTAAACGAAAAAGGCGCATTTATGCCAAAACCTTAGAAATTTACCTTTTCGTGCCGTCCAAAGTGGCTATCCAATCTTTGAGTTTCTCAACAAGGAAGATCTCCATTTTCAAGAAACAGCAGTTAAAATGAGGTTCTGGTGAAGAAATTGCGAATGAGGACCTTTTGTAGAAGATAGGCTCTGAGTGGAGGCCAGCTGTCAGTCAGCTGGTGGATCACCACAAGTGGCCAGCCGTCTACTTTTGTGGCCTGGCAGTTTGGCATTTTGGTTTTGTCCTGGTCTTTGTGTTTTGGGATTTTGTTCTGAGTCTTTTGTTTATAATAAGTGTAAATAGTTGTGTTTAAGTTATTTTTACTTTGTTTTTCTTTTATCAAGTTGTGTTTTGTATTTTGGTCGTTGGTTGGCTCAATACCTGATTACGAACATTATTCCAATACAAGCAGTTTCAAATTCAATTCCATTCTCATTCTACACAAATGTGGTGCTCATGATGCAAAAACAATAACTCTTTTCATAAAACTGCTGGGTTTTTTCCCCGATCATAGTTTTTTTACAAAAGAGATAACAAGCTTTCAAAAGCAAAAGTAAAAGCCTATCTGAAGCTATACATGTGCTAAGCTACCAAAATAAAATAAAAACTAAGCAAAAGAGTACAAAAATCTACGCTAATCATATCAAGCTCAAGAGGCCATTTTCGTCCTCAGGGGCACTGTCTCTATCGGCACCGTTATCAGAATCAGACTCTGAGCTAGAGCCAGTGTCATCATCTTTGCTCCTTGACTCAAAGCCAGCATCGGCGTCGTCTCTACTCCCTGACCCTGAGCCAGCATCATCGTCCCCGCTCTCAGACTCAGAGCATCGGCTCACTGCCTCCTCAGAGTTGTTGGTCTCAGTATCATCCCCACTCAAAGCTAGCTCTGAGCTTCTCCGACTCCGAGCACCTCTGCCCCTATCTTGACCTCAATTCTTGTCTCGACCGCATACTAGAGCCAGTCTACCTCTCTTCCCTACCGCTGGAGGAGGTGCCGCCAGTGCTGCTAATGCTGCTGCAGGTGCCCTCGGTACAGGTAGAACCTGAAGAAAAACAAGCATCAACAGATCAGATACAGTGTATGTATTGTTATAGTATAGAGTATGCAGTATGAGTATGACATAGAAAATAGATGCAGTATGGGTGCAGTGTGTAGGTGCAGTGTGAAGCAAAATCAGAATGTATGTCAGTATGCAGTGTCACTGTGAGTGTCGCACAGTATGAGTATCATGTATCAATGGGAATATGGCATGTCACTACAGTGTGGAAAGCAATGCAATGCATGGGGGAAAGGGAAGTATACCTGGATACTGTGCAGAACAAGCAGCATCTCCCTCCTCTGCACCATATGAACTAGGGAGGCAACTAGCTAAAGAAGGCCCTCCGTATACTGTGTGGGTGTCTGCAAGTGAAACTGAATAATTAGTATCCGAAAAAGAAGAATACGATATGCAAGATGTCAAGCATGGTCCATACCTGAGGTGCGCCCAGGGCTTTGACATAGCATTTCCCGTCTCCGGTGGCTCAATCGGGAGCTGATAGGTCGTCCCACTTAGCCGCCTGCAAGGGATCGTGGTGGGAATCGCTGGCTAACTGGCAGCCCGCACAGCAGGAGGAGCCGCTCTAATACCAGCCTTGGTCTCCTGAGCAGTCTCTCCAACCAAAGGAGCACCTGCTGCGTTGCCGGCGCGAACTCCAGTCAGGGGTGGCATAAGATGAGTCCGGATGAAGGCCGTGTAGTCGTCCTCCTCTCTGAAATAGTTGGCGTCTAGCCCTACCATATACTAAATAATGGCCTCAGTTGAGAGGCTATCAGCTGTCCTCATGGATGCTGGGGGCGGCATAGGAACAACTGGGGTGAGCAAGGCCAATGTCTGGTGTACAAACCGCTCTCCCAAGAACCAGGCTCGGCAGAATGGACCTTCCAGCAAAATCCAGTATCGAGAGGTAGCCCAAGCCCCAACATATTGGTCTCTAACTCCGGTTGGCATTGTCGTTCATGGCTGTCACGTGATCTGCAAATAGAGACTGTACAAGTTGTTAGTTACTGTCAGTTGTCAGAATATAGATCAAAATAGCAACAATAATAATAAAGAAGAAAATGACTGTGAGTTTCAGAGTACCTCGCGGGTGACCACTATGTCGAAGTAGCGACGATAGAAGGCAAAGGTCATGTCCTCACGACTCCGACGACGGCACCTGCCATCATACCGCTACGAGTAGAGCACAGTCGGAGCAATCTCATCCATCAGCTTTGGAGCAAGGGCCGGGAAATAGGCGTAAACCCACAGCTACAAGAAAAGATTAGTAGTGTTATCAACAATATATGAGCAGATATTAAATAAAAAGTGCAAGGCAGAAAGCACAATGTATGAACAGATATAAGGCAGAAAGCACAATGCATGAACAAATATAAGGCAAAAAATCCAAGGCAAAAAGCACAAATACACAAACAGATATTAAACCGAAAATGCAAAGCAGAAAGCATAAGAAGTAAACAGGATCGAAAATGCAGTCCATACCTCTCAGGCTCTCCAGTACCCTCCGACCCTATCTCTTTTCATACGGAAACTAAAGCTCATGTAGCCGTAAAGTGTGGCAAGGCCGGCTTTACCCTAATTATAAAATCGGACCTGGGGCAGGGTCACAAGGGCGCTCAACAGGTACAAACCCATGGTGTTCCACCTATTCGCGAACAAGATGGTACTAAGAAGGTACATCAAAAAGCTTCGGGTGTACTGCTCTATCTCTTCTTGAGTCTCAGGCTGACTCCTACGGAAGCACTTGAGGAACCAACTGTATCACACCATAGCTGGTCTATATAGGGGCGGGCTCGCTCCAAACAAGTAGATCCAGGCCGCCTCCCACTGGCCCATGTCCATGTCAAAAGGGATCAGATCACCCCCTACTCCTAAGCCTATGATCATTGAAAAGTCATAGGGGTCATCGTCATCTCCCCAACATAAAAGAAATGGAAGGAGTTTATGGTATCCCACCACCTTTCCACTAGTACTCCGAGTAGGGCCCGGCTAGCCATGTGGCGCGTGAGCCTGGTCCAAAATAAGCCAAGGCCTGCCTCGTCAACAAGGTTGCGGACCTGGGAGGGAGCTCGTGATACCAATCCCTGGCCATCACTGCCCCGTAACCCCTACAAGAGCGAGAGTCCTCCTGTGGCAAAGAAAGAGTGAATCAGATGAGAGACCGTGATAAAAGAAGAGGCAGATGAAAGGCAATGCAAGACAGTCAGATGAAAGACAGTGAAGCATGTAAATAAAGGTTGCACCTTAGAAATGTCGTGGGAAAGGTGGGAGTCCAGCTCCCACAGTAAAATATCCTCCAGCCCGCCATCAATGAAATCATCAAAGCGCATCATGCCTCTAAGCACCATCATGTGCGTGCGGGGGTGGTACGTGGTCAGATCAAAGGGCCTTACCCTCAATGGTAATAACTCAGGCTCGAGCCTTGGGGCGAAGACCTCTGCCTCTACCTCGAGGTCAGCGGCAATGTCCTCCCCTACCTCATCAGCCTCATCAGCTATAGGTGCCTCAACCCCAACAGCAGGTGGAAGAATAGGTACCTCAGAAGGAGCACCGTCGTGAGGAATGTCATCCCCCATCTGGAAAATGGGTGAAAACTGGTGAAACAGTGGAGAAAATAAGAAAAAAATAAGAAAAACTTGGAAAAAGTCAACCCTAGGAGAGAGAAAATGGAAGAAAAAGTCAAAACCCGAGAGAGTTCACCAAACTCAAGAAAAACTCGAGGGAAACAAGCCCAAAGTGTTGAAAACTCGAAAAAATCAACGAAAACAAAATCTAATCGGTTCAAAGTGAAAAGGGCCAAAGAGGGTTTACGAATAAAGTTTGCGTAGGGCATTGGAAAACGAGTACAAAGCACAAATCTATAGAGAGGAAGTACCTAGAGAGGGAAGGGGAGAGTTTTTGGACTTGGGTGTGTGAGGAAATGAAGTTTAGTGATGTGTTTAAGTAGACCCGCACCGAAATCTCATTTTTGCCCCTGAATCACCATTAGTGGATGACCGTACACCATTAGTGGCCGGCCGGCCCTTTTTGTGGCCCTGTGCTGGTTTTGTTCCCCTTTTGCCCTAATAGTGTATGGGAGGTCCTATTTTGGGTCTGGGAAGAAGGATTGAGGTATGCGAGTAGATTTGATTTCCAAGGAGCTCAAAACTACGTTTTGGTTGCGCCGTTCCAATGCCCACTGATCCTTTTGAGCATTTTGCAAAGCCTTCCGGGGGGGGTAAGTCGGAGGTTGTCGTCAAACGTCACTTTTGTCCATTTTGTCGATTTATATATCTGATACCTTCTCTTGCATAGAACATGCTTTTAATTATCTTGCATAGAGCATGCTTTTGATTATCTTGCATAGAATATGCTTTCGATTCTTGTATGGAACATACTTTTAATTAACATCATGTGTCGATTGTTTAGTATCTTGCATAGAACATGCGTGGTCATTATAGTGTTTTCAATCTTGCTTACTTTCTGCATCTATCGCACTCGTTCACTATGTGCATCTATCGCACACTTTTGTTACATTGAACATCTATCGCACACTTTTGTCACATTGTGCATCTATCGCACACTTTTATTACATTGTGCATCTATCGCACACTTTCGTCACTTTGTGCATCTATCGCACTCGTTCACTTCGTACATCTATCGCACAATCAATCTGCAGTGTGCATTTATCGCACACTCTTACTGCCTTGTGCATCTATCACACAATCTCATACTTCTTGCATCTATCGTATCATCTCAGGGTGTGCAGAAGCATTACCCTGAGCGGTTTTTTTGGGCATGGTTAGAGTGTGTTTTTATTTCTTTCTGCGTGAAACGTGGTTGGGCTCGTTATTACTAATTGCATCATCTTCCATGATCACGGAGTTTCAAAAAACTGACTTCACGAAGTGTGAGTCCAGCTTTCAAGGTATATTCGTTGTGTATATCATTTGCATCATGCCCTTGAACTACGATGATTTGATTCCTTGCAAAGGGATACGTAGGCAACCTTTAGGTTCAACCAATTTAATTTATGTCTTGATTGTTTGTCCAAGTCTTATGGCCTTGTCAAAATAGGTCGTCTCTGGGCTTTGACAATCACTCACATCATTTCATGACTTCAAGCTTTGTCAAAGAGAGGCAACTGTAGACACCTCATTTTTGACTGCCCTTAAGACTTGGGCGCCACTGAGTGATCACCCAATGATGAATTTGCACACTTGTCCAAATGCTCGATTTCTTTAGCTGGAAACCTCAGTTTTGAGCCTCAGAAACCTATAAACCTTGTGCCTTGTTTTTGGACCAAAACAGTAGTTTTTCAAGCTTGACCAACCAGGGGCCTGTCGGCCACTATTAGTGGACAGCCACCCCCTTTTAGTGGCGTGCCGGCCACTTGTGTAAAAAACCAGATCTTTTTGCCAACTGTGCCAGCTGTCTGCACATATGCATGCACTACACCAACTGTGTCTATATGGATATTTCTGAGATAGTCTCATATATTTCTATATATAGATGACTCTCTCTCATATTCTAGAGTCAAAAAAATTTGTGAAACAAAGTTTTGGAAAAATATTTCTCTCTACATTTCTCTCTCTCCCTTGCAACTTCTATACCCTTGCCTAGACATTTCAAACCAAATCTTGAGGGTTATTTGCTGAGGTGTTTGAGCTTGCATTTTAACTCTTGAGGGTGTGAGATTGGTGGTTTGTAATTCAAAGGGTCACTCCTCTTCAAGAGGTATACATCCTAGCTGTCACGACCCAAACCCGGCCCTATGGGTTTAGCACCGTAACCGGCCAGTAATCCGAGATTACCGAAGGCCTGCTTAACAGTAATACAGTAAAACAGAGTACAGGGCCTGGCGGAAGCCAATACAGTAATTAAACAATGTCCAATGAGCTGTGACAGTCTGCATGCCAAAAGATTTTTCATGCATTCACATATACAAACAGTACAGTCTATACAAAATTTACAGTCACACAGTACAGGGACTTAATCCCTTGATAACAGTACGGCAAACAGTCAGTCTATACAATTCATCCAGTTATTACAAAACAGTAAGACAGTACAGAGGGGGGCTTCTAAAACACCCCTAAGCCTTAACATGATAGGCTCGGAACCTCGCAGTAAGGCACAAAGGCGGGCTTGACAAAACTGGAGTAATCCTGACGCTCCTAGCCGCGGTCTGGTGCCTGTACACCTACATATATATATGAGCAGTGAGCTAAAGCCCAGTGAATAACATAATGCGTAAAGAGGTTTAGAATGAATGTCCTTACGGTAATGAAAACAGTTCAATTCAATCAGTATTTCAGTTGCTCAGTACAGTAAACAGTCATATGTGGTACATCCATTAGCATATCAGTAACAGTAGGTCTTAAAAGACCGAACAGTAATGATGGCCATCAATTAGTAAACAATAGTGGCTCCACGAGGGAACCGACAGAGATCTCTGTAACAGTAACAGTAAACAGTAGGTGCTAAGGATGCCACAGTACAGTTCAGAAATAAAGGACATATATTCATTCAGTAAACAGTTCAGTTCAGTATTCAAAGATAATCAGTTGAACATATCTTTACACAATTGTTACTCACAGAGTTTGGGCTACAGTATGCTAGAGCGTGTCTCCCCAGTCGCCAACCCTACACAGTTCACAGGTTGAACACACTAAGCTACACAGTTGGGAAATATCATAACTTAATCCCTAATTTGCCTTGGTGTGTTTTACAACGATATCCTCATCAAGATGTCTTAAACTAGG